CTTTTTGCCTAGAATGTTCCGTAGGAGGGCATTAAACATATCTCTCATGCATCGGATCAGTTACAGGTTTTATAGCTCAAAACAAAACATGAATTCTTAACATTTTTAAGTGGAGATTTTTTACTTTTACGTCTCTACATTTGAGAGCAGGTATCGGTACTTTCAGTCAGTCCGGCGCCACCTAGTGTCTCGCTCGATTTCATTTCTCTCCAGCGACTAGATCAGGAATCAGAAAACACTAGATGGTTCGTAAAATCCCCGGAAGTGTGAGTTCGGACACCAGAATCAGCGAAGAGACAGACATTCTGTGTTGGCAGCGATTCTCGAGATCGAGGATTTAAAACAAGAACAAAGAGAATGTTTGAATTTTGTCAAAAGGGAAGACGTTATTGTCCTTCTTCCTACAGGATTTGGAGCATTACATACGACACAACCAAACAACAGCGATTGGTTAAATAAAAAAAGTACCCACCTACCGTCGAGCGAACGAATCCTAATGCTGCGAGGTCACACGTTTTCCACCAAGTGAAACCGGCTGATGAATCGAGCTACTGTACTTTCTACATTTTTAACTTAACTGGAAAATAAAAGTTATTTTTATTTTATTTGAGACCTGCTGAAAAGGCTGAGGGCTTATTTCGAACACATCTGTAGTTTGATCAAAATATAAAAATTAAAAGCTAAAAAAACAAAACTCTTTTCTAAAATTCTAAAATGCTATAAAACCGTCGTGACTTGGACTCGAGTCAGACTTGAGGCACTATTTGTAGGACTTGAAACTTGACTCGAGACTCGACTTGGACTTATGGGTCAGTGACTCGAGACTCGACTTGGACTTGCCTGCAAAGGGACGACTCGGTCCCGCCTCTGACTAAAATTTAAAAATTTTTGTCTATCAAATTCAGCACAAATCTGTATCAAAGTCACTGCATTTGAAGCTTTATTAGATCTCAAAACCCGAGCAAAAATACTTTTACTTTTTACTCCTAAAGTAACATGTAGTTACTTTTACTTAAGTATATTTTTTTATGTAATACTTTTACTTTTAATTCAGTTTTTTTTTTTTTTTTTTTTTTTTTTTGCTCTGGTATCTACATTGTGTTACTTGTCCGGTGAAGGCTGCTCGTCTCCATGGAGATGTGCCTAGAATGTTCCACAGTGTGTCCACAAACTTGGAGACTTGAAATCCAAATTACAGGTCAGATCTGCGGAGAGGGGACCCCAACTCACAGTAAGAATTCACCTTTTTAAGACATTTCTGAAGCGATAAAAACACCTGCAGTTGGATTAACACTAGACATACCAATTTAATGTCACACTGTGGAACATTCCGGGCAAAGCAATGACGTATCCATAGAAACAGATGAATTTCTCGTTAAATCGTTTGTTATCATTACATGTTTCGAAGTCGCCTGTTGAGCAAATCGCAGTGTGACTGTGTTGTGGGTCAGAGCAGATCGATGTCAGATGCCCTGGTTTCTCTGCTGTCGTTATTTCTGCTGAGGCGAACAAAACGACACGACACTGCTCCTTTATTACACTCGTTTAAGTTCAGAACCACGCGTGTACAGGTCGCCCACAAACCAGAAGGTAAACGGTTCAAATCTGGACTCAGACGGTTTTTGTGGGTTCTGTTTAAGTCAGTATTTTGTCTCGTTTAACAGAAATGTGCTTTGTGTCGTTTTACTCTATGGTGATGTTATTGTTTTGTCCGAAATGTTCCAGAGTGTGGAATTAAAACTTTTCGAGCTTCAAGGAGACCAGACCAGACCAAGTTACGGGGCAGATCTGTGAAGAGTCCTGGTCTCAGTCCTTGTCTCAGTCCAGGTCTTTGTCCTAATCTTGGTCCTGGTCTGGTCCCAGTCTCAGTTTTTGTCTCAGTCCTGGTCTGGTACTGGTCTCAGTCCCGGTCTCACTCCTGGTCCCGGTCTCAGTTCTGGTATGGTCCTGGTCTGGTCTTGGTCTCTGTCCCAGTCTCAGTCCTGGTCCCAGTCTCAGTCCTGGTCAGATCCCAGTCTCCGTCCTGGTCTCAATCTCAGTCTGATACCAGTCTCAGTTCTGGTCTGGTCCTGGTCTGGTCCCAGTCTCAGTCTCAATCTCAGTCCTGGTTTTGGGTCTCAGTCTTTGTCTCAGTCCTGGTCTGGTCCTGGTCTCAGTCCCGGTCTCAGTCTTTGTTTCAGTCCTGGTCTGGCCCTGGTCTCAGTCCTGGTCCTGGTCTCAATCTCAGTCTGGTCCCAGTTTCAGTCTTTGTCACAAGTCAGCATTAGCGTTAGCATTACCTAACAGTTTTTCAGTTAGCCTCTTCTTCTTTTCACCTTTTTGTTGAAAATCAAACTCCTAAAACAGAACCACGAACGCTCGGACTGACCACACGCTCCTGAAAATGTTCTGTATAGTGTTTAAATCCATTTTGTGTTTTTGTCTTGATTGTTTAAATTTTATTCACAATACAGTCACACGCTAGATAGCATTAGCATTAGCGTTAGCATTAGCCAACAGTTTTTTAGTTAGTACTTGTTGAAAATTTTACTCCTAAACAGAAACACGAACGCTCGGACTGACCACAGGCTCCTGAAAATGTAGTGTTTAATCCATTTTGTGTTTTTTCTTGAGTATTTAAACCTGTTTTGACAGCATTTGTTAACGTTTACATTGCGTCGTCTGAACCTACTGCCATAGAAATACACGTACAACCCCCCCAGTGTGATATTTATAATGCGGTGGGATATATTTTGCTCAGATACATGTAAACCATCGGGTACAGCAGGTTTAAATGGGTTGAAGGACATTGTGCGTGCGGCGAAGCGGCTGAAGTCCGTCCCTGATGGTGCAGTCTGTCTGTAACCGGAGCGCTTCGTGTTTTGTGTGAAAATGTCATGTATGTGCAGTTTACAGCCTTACTCAGCTCCACACTTGAAACACCAGACTGTGCAGTGCCTCCGGTTACATCACACTGCAGCGGAGATTCAGACAAACCCGTCACACTTTAAGATAAAAAGTTAATTAAGAACGATTAAAAACTACTTAAAAGTCAGGATATTAAGCTTTAAGTCGTGTTCTAATGTTGTTTCCTCCTCAAAAACAGATCTGGAGTTGTGTTTTGTTTCATTCACATGTTTGAGAAACTCTTTATTATTAGTCTGTTTACATTTTCAAAGCTTCATAACGTTCTGTTCCACCTTATGATGTCATCAAGTGGTAGTTTTCAAGTATTACAGTTCCTTTTACCTCCTTTTAGTTCAGCCGAGTTTGGCAATTTCAGGGCTGAAATCCAATCCGAATGAGTCTAGTGAAGGTGTGTGGAGTTTAAAAACACAGTGGAGCACTTCCTGTATCGCCATATGACATCACAAGGTGGTACAGAGTGTTTTCAGTTTGAGAAAAGAGCACGACCTAATAAAAATCAAATATGAATTATGGCAAAATCTCGTCATTTTTGTGGACCCTAATCGTTTGTCTTGTCTCCTGGTTTAGTTCTAGTTTAGTCCTGATTTAGTCCTGGTTGAGTCCTTGTTAAGTCCCTTGTCCAGACCTTGTTCAGTCCTGGTTTTATTCCTGGTTTAGTCCTGGTTTTAGTCTTGGTTTTGTCCTAGTTGCGTGCTAGTTAAATCCATGTTAAGGCCTTGTCCAGACCTTGTTTAGTCCTTGTCTAGACCGAGTTTAGTTCTAGTTCAGTCTTGCTTTAGCCCAGATTCAAGTGCTGGTTTAGTCCTGGTTGAGTGCTAGTTAAATCTTTGTGAAATACATGTCTAGACCTAGTTTAGTTCTAGTTCTGCCCTGGTTTTATTCTTGGTTTAGTCCTGGTTGAGTGCTAAAGTTCTTGTTAAGTCCTTGTCTAGACCTAGTTCAATCCTGGTTCAGCCCTGGTTTAGTCCTGGTTGAGTGCTAGTGAAGTCCTTTTTATGTCCTATTCCAGACCTAGTTTTGTCCTAGTTCAATCCAGGTTTGTTCCTGGTTTAGTTCTGGTTTTATTTTTGGTTTAGTCCTGGTTGAGTCCTGGTTGAGTGCTAGTCAAGTCCTTGTTAAATCTTTGTGAAATACGTGTCCAGACCTAGTTTAGTCCAAGTTTAATCCTGGTTTAGTCTTGCTTTAGCCCTGGTTCAGTCCGGGTCTAGTCCTGGTTCAGTCCTGGTTCAGTCCTGCTTTTATTCCAGGTTTAGTCCTGGTTTAGCTCTGATTCATTCCTGGTTTAGTCCTGATTGAGTGCTAGTTAAGACCTTGTTTAGTCTAAGTTCAATCCTGGTTTAGTCCTGGTTTTATTTGTGGTTTTTAGTCCTGGTTGAGTACTAGTTAAGTCCTATTTAAATCTTTGTCCAGATCTAGTTTAGTCCTAATTCAATCCTGGTTCAGTCCTGGTTTTATTATTGGTTTAGACCTGCTTTAGTCCTGGTGGAGTGCTAGTTAAGTCCCTTTCCAAACCTAGTTCAGTCCTGGTTCAGACCTGGTTTAGTCATGGTTGAGTGTGAGTTAAATCCTTGTTAAATCCTTTTCCAGACCTAGTTAAGTCCTAGTTTTAGTCCTGGATTAGTCCTGGTTTTAGTCCTGGTTTAGTCCTAGTTCAGTCCTGTTTGAGCCCGGTTTCTGTGATAAATCATCTTAAAATCAAAATTATTTATTTAGACCAACATAAACATAACACAAAAAGAAAATAAATCAGACATTTTGAGTTGGCTCAGAGATAAAACCGTTGTCCAGAAGTGAAATAATCTGAACTAAACGTTGCTGAAGTGTTTGAGGCGTGAGATGTGCGGCGACGGGAGGAACAGTGGAGCCCGGATCTCTTCTGCAGAGTCATGTTCATAAAAGCACAATTGAATCGGATTGAATGATGAGAGCGAGACCGAGAGGAGGAGGAGGGGGGAGGAAGAGGAGAAAGACGACGAGGAGGAGGAGGAGGGAGAGGAAGAGAACGAGAAAGACGAAGAGGGAGGGGAGGAGGCTGTCCCTATGAGCACCGCGCGCATCCCAGCCTCAGCTCATTCATTTCGCTTTGACTCAAACAACAACAAGCAACTCCAAAACCGGACAGGCAAACTTCAAGCTCGTTTCAACGCGCAAAAACGACGCAGAAACGCATTTTTTTTTACATTTCCGGAGACTATTTCAAGATATATATGAAGTGAACTTTTCTACAAACTTAACCTCCTTCAAGTTTGATCAATTTCGCGCCAACAAACATCAAATCTCCGCGCAGAATTCACAAAAAACAAAAAACGAAGACGAGGAAGGAGAAAGAAAGAAAGAAGGCGCATCCTCCCTTACAAGCCAACAATCATTAAATATTTACGAGGATATCACAGAGCCTTTCTCGAGCCGCGAAAACAGAAAAGAAAGAAAATAGGTTAGACGAAGCGGTTCCCGAAGAACGATTTTTGGCATATTTCGAGGGCGAGAATTCGTGGGCACGCTGCAGAAACTGGAGAGAACGTGGAGAGCATGGAGCCGGAGCCAGTGAGAGGTAAGCCCACGGCCATTTGATCCGCTGTTAAACTATTGATGATTTGCATGACCTTGGGCTCGGAGCTCGCAGAGAGATGGACCCAATGAGAGGCAGAGATTTCACCGGATTTCAACGGGCGCCGTGTTTTAGCCCATTTAGTATTTTGTTAATTTAGTGTCAAAATTCTCACAGATTTTGGGAAAACACAACGGAAATGAGTCCCAGAATCAAAACATAATTAAGTTGTGCTTCGTAACTTTTCGTTTTAGGCTCCGTCACTTGCTTTTTCGTCGGATATGTTGCTGTTCTGCCTGAAATGTTCCAAAATGTGGCATTAAACGGCTCTGCCTAACAGTGTAAACTCGAAAAAGTTAACAGAACTCAAAATAATTGAGTAAATCGATCGTCTCAATTATTTCGAGTTGATGAACTGAAAAGTCTCACGTTTAAAATGTTTAAAAGTTTTATGTTAAGGCGTCTCAGTTATTTATTATGGCTTAAAAATAAAATAAAGTAAAGTAAAAAAAAAAAAAATGATAAAATGAAAAAAAAGTAAAGTAAAAAACAAAATTAAATAAATAAAATAAGTAAAAATAAAATAAATATAAATACATAAAAAATAAAACTAAACTAAATTAAATTAAATAAAACAGACTGCCTCGATCAAATTAAGTTGTGTGATTACAATTTATTTGTTATGATAGATTTTAGTACTTATTTGGTTAAATGCTTTAAAATTGTATTGTATTTTAGCATGTACTTTATAAGTTATTATTATTATTATTTTTTAATCATCCCTATTTGAAACAATAGAAATAACAGGACTTTATCATTACTGATTTTAAGTTCAACCACTTCTGTGTTTTAAAGTTACACTCACTTAAACCCAAACTAGTTTCCTTTAATTGAAATAAAAAGTTTAAATTACTCAGAAATAAGAACATGTTACAGCAACTTGACATAATTAAGTAATTAAGTTAGCAGGACTATTTCTAAAAGTTTGAGTGTGCACAACTTAATCTTTTTAATTTTTTTTGTCAAGTGAAATTAACTCAAATCATAATAAAACTTTCTTAATTCAAGTCATCTTAACTCTGCTAGATTTTGTTTTTTGCAGCGCACTTTACATTTATTCAATTATAAGTGGTTTTATCGCTCGAAAATACCGTGAAAAACAGACATTCTGACTGCGAGCGGGGTCTCCTCTCCACAGATGTGACCTGTAACCTGGTCTGATTTGGTTTCCGTGAAGATAGAAAGGTTTAATGCCATACTGCGGAACATTCCAGGCAAAGCAATAACCTCTAATAATGATTTTAAAAAGCAGGTGCGAGTATGAATTAAGTAAATAAACCTGAATAATTGTTAATAAACAGTTTATTAATGATGAACTACGTCTTCATTCATGCTTTACGACGGATAATTATGCGTACTTAGAGTCTTACCTTTTTATTTTAATCGCAATCCATTGTTAAAGGAAGTTATTTTACCTCTTATATTGTAGATTACAGTGAAATGGAGCAAAGGATCATGGTCTATGTAGTTCGCTCTGTTTTTTTGCTTCTACTGCACCATAACGATAAATTTAAGCAAATAAACTTAGATAATTTGATATTTTGTGATGGTTGATGATGTTATTATGAGACTTTGGACGATACGATATGACGATATTTCGGTTATTTTAAATCCGGAATATTATATAAGGGAATTTAGCTCGGGTTCTGTTTGAGTTTGTCCCGACTGAATGAAACGAGACGGAGGAAGTTTAATGAATCCTGACGAGAATGATCTTGATTTAGATTGTGTTTGTTCTCATAAAGTCCGTGTCCTGGTTTTAATCAGGTTTGTTTGGTTTAGTCCTGGTCCAGTCCTGGTTTAGTCTTGGTTTAGTTCTACATCCTGGTTTAATCTGGGTTTAGTACCTGTTTAGTTAAAGTTTGCTGTTGCCAGGTTTAGTCCTAGATCTGTCCTGGTTCAGTCCTGGTTCAGTCTCAGGTTAGTCCTGGTTTAAGTCCTCATTTAGTCATAGTTGAGTTCTGGTGGAGTCCTGGTTGAGTCCTAGTTTACTCTTGGTTTAGTTCTGGCTTAGTCCTGGTTTAGTCCTGGTTCAGTCCTGGTTTAGTCCTGGTTTAGTCCTAATTTACTCTTGGTTTAGTTCTGGCTTAGTCCTGGTTTAGTCCTGGTTTAGTCCTGGTTCAGTCCTGGTTCAGTCCTGGTTCAGTCCTGGTTTAGTCCTGGTTTAGTCCTGGTTTAGTCCTGGTTTAGTCAGTCTGGTTTAGTCCTGGTTTAGTCCTGGTTCAGTCCTGGTTTAGTCCTGGTTTAGTCCTGGTTTAGTCCTGGTCTCTGGTGGGGCAGTGTGATGGGGACATGTGGGTTGGCATTGATTGTGCTCAAGGTCGGATGTAAAATGTCGATACCCATCTCCGCTGTGGGCCGGGGGAGGGGCCATGAACCTCCAGAGCTAGCCTGGGTTAGTCCTGGTTTAGTCCTGGTTTCTTTCTGGTTCAATGTTGGTTTATTCTTCCTGATGGTTTATTCTTGGTTTAGTCATGGATTAATCCTTGATTAGTCCTGGTTTAGTCCTTGTTTAGTCCTGGTCCAGTCCCGGTTCAGTCCTTGTTTTTATTCTTGATTTAGACCTTTTTTAGTCCCAGTTCAGTAGTTGCTTTTAGTTGTGGATTAGTCATTGTGCAGTTTCAATTTATAATAGAAAAAATTTAAATTCTAATTTCTTAGAATGAAATAAACTGGTAACTTTGGTACAGGTTTATCTGGAATCAAAAACATTAAACTTAATGAACAAATGTTTTATAAGTCCTTTAAGATGATTATTTATTATTTCAAAATGGTTAGAAAGCCTGTTGCAATAAATCGTATGATTAAACAGTCTATAAGAGAAGAAAAATTAATTTAAAAATCCAATATTACACAAAATTGATTCTTGGGTTTAATCTGGATTTAAAATCTGTTTAGTCAAAATTTACTGTTGACAGGATTAGTTTTAGATCAGTCCTGGTTCAGCTCTAGTTTAGACATGGCTGAGTCCTAGTTCAGTCCTGGTTTAGTCCTGGTTTTAGTCTTGGTTTAGTTCTGGTTGAGTCCAAGTTCAGTCCTGATTAAGTCCTGGTTCAGTTCTGGTTCAGTCCTGGTTCAGTGCTGGTTTGATCCTGTTTTAGTCCTGGTTTAGTCCCTGGTTTAGTCCTGGTTTTAGTCCTGTTTAGTCCTGGTTTAGTCCTGGTTTTAGTTCTGGTTTTAGTTCTGGTTTAGTCCTGGTTTTAGTCCTGGTTTTAGTTCTGGTTTAGTCCTGGTTTTAGTCCTGTTTAGTCCTGGTTTGATACTGGTTTAGTCCTGTTTAGTCCTGGTTTAGTCCTGGTTTTAGTTCTGGTTTTAGTTCTGGTTTAGTCCTGGTTTTAGTCCTGTTTAGTCCTGGTTTACTCCTGGTTTAGTCCTGGTTTAGTCGTAGTTCAGCCCATTATCCATTTTTTCCAACACAAAATCAAAAAGTGAAAAAAACAAATCATTATCTGTTTTTTCATTTTAGTTTTAGAGACAAATAATAAAGAAAATGGTTGTTATTGTTTTTTTTCCTTCTGTTTTCTAACTTTTGGTTTTATATTGAAAAACGAACGAACGAACGATACACAAATTCAGTAAAAAAGCCGACACGATCACGGCGAAAATCACCGTTAAATGCGATAAATAACGGCTGAAAGTTTGTGGTTAATTGTCGTCGTGGATCTCAGACTGGATGGATGTGGAGCGTTAGTGGCTGCGGTGGACGGACTGATGTGAGTGAACGAGCAGCAGCGGATGTAGAGTAATGTACAGTAATGCACCGAAGCACCTCCTGCTCACAGCACAGGAAACCAGCCCAGCTCTCAGACTGGGTTTAGTCCTGGTTCAGTCCTGGTTCAGTCCTGGTTTAGTCCTGGTTTAGTTCTGGTTCAGTTCTGGTTTAGTCCTGGTTTAGTTCTGGTTCAGTCCTGGTTTAGTCCTGGTTTAGACCTGGTTTAGTCCTGGTTCAGTCCTGGTTTAGTCCTAGTTTAGTTCTGGTTCAGTACTACTTTAGTCCTGGTTTAGTCCTGGTTTAGACCTGGTTTAGACCTGGTTTAGTCCTGGTTCAGTCCTGGTTCAGTCCTGGTTTAGTCCTGGTTTAGACCTGGTTTAGTCCCGGTTCAGCCCCGGTTCAGTCCTGGTTTAGTCTTGGTTCAATCCTGGTTTAGTCTTGGTTTAGTCCTGCTTTAGTGCTGGTTCAGTCCTGGTTTAGTCCTGGTTCAGTCCTGGTTTAGTCCTGGTTTAGTCCTGGTCCTGGTCTGGTCTTGATCATTTTGGTTTTGGAGACAAATAATGAAGAAAACAGTTGTTTTTTCGTTTCTTATTTTTGGTTTTATTTAGAAAAACAAATGAATCTTTTCAGTTTGTGTTTAAACACAATCCAGATTAAAGTCTCATCTCTCTTCAGACAGAGCAGTGCCTCCGTTAGCCTCACACCCTTGGGGAATGTCGATGATTCAGCTGAAAATTATCCGTCCACTTCCTCCCAACACCGACCGTCGCTCTGTTTTACATGTGGTTTGTTCCCGATGGTTCATTAGACGAGCTCAAACAAAGTGACGGTTTCATGTTCTGGTCCAAAAATCTCCAAAGTCGAGCAGGTCCAGCGTGACTTTATGAACGAGGGCGGGTTTTTCTTGAATGGAAAACTGTTCTGCGCTCGGCTCATTCATGATTTATTCACGACTAATGTGAAGTGAGTCAGTACAGTCAGATTTTATTTGTGTTTGTTGTAGTTTTACCTAAACAAATGACACTTTATGCTTCTCTTTACTGTTGGAAGGGATTAAATTGTTTACACGGGAACACTTGTGGGTAAAAATGACCAAATATTTTATCGGAAGTGACTTTCGTTTAGACGGTGACGCCGTTTTTGGGGCTTAAAAAAACACAAAAATCTGAAACCAGCCTCCAGAGTGGAAAAGTCTGGAGGCTGCCCAAGACGCAAAACTCCAGAACCAGAC